AATACCTTAGTCGTAATATTACGACTAGGTTACGACTAATGCTTGTAGTCGTAATGTTACGACTACGTTACGACTAATTGTGCATTACGACTAGCGAATAACGACCAATTGGTTTTCGATGTTAATTGGTCGTAAATGGCATATTACGACTAATTAACAACCAATAGTGTAGTCGTTAGACACCTGTTTTCTTGTAGTGTTAATTATGGTTATGAGAAGTTTACGTGCACGTGTCAATCCTATATATCTTTAATATTTTTCTTTTTGTGTGTCTTTTTCATTTTGGTTATTGCTCGATATAAATAATTATTTTGAAGTTTATTCTCATTTCGTTTGTTTGTTTTGGCCTAAGGTTTAGATAATGCTTAAAATTTAAAATAATTAAAGAGATACGTACTTAGGTTAAGATATGCACTTTTTGCAGAATAAGTATTTTATATTTATTATTTATTTTATGTTTTTCTGCATATTATTAAATAATAAAATAATAAGTATATATATTAAATAACTAAGAAATCAGTTACTATTATGTAATAAATTGGCATGTGCATATAAATATAACGATCACTCTTGTTTATTTGCAATTAGGGTAAAGAAATCGAACAATCAATCTTATATGTCGTATATGATATATAATTAAATGTAAATGATATTAACATAGATATATAGCACACTTTTAATATGTATATTTATTAAATGAGGTGTCCACTCATATAATTTTATGATTATTTGCATATTTGTATAACAAAATTATACACCAACGATTTTTTTTAATGTGAGATGTGTAGTAGGTTCAATAATTTATAATCATTTAAAAAATAGTGACAGATTTTAAAATTAAAATATTAACTTTTCAATATATGTTTAATGCAAATATCAAAATATTAGTATGTATTTTCATACGATGTATAGTTTAATTTAAATGATATGAAATATATATATATATATGTATATATATTAACATAAAACCTATTAAAATAAAATTATTTTTTCATATGCTCTAATATAATCGTATCTTTATATAGAAAACAAAATTTAAACCTTAATCATAAAAGCTTATGTGAGACTTTTAACAGTTTTAATAATTTATACTCGTTTTGAAAATTCAAAATACAACATACACAAAAAAAATCTAGATTTTTATTAATGGTTAATTTAATTGTGTAATTTATTTTAATAATAAAAAAATAAACAAAATGATAAAAGTATACATATTATTATCAAATATTTATTGTTTAAAATAATTAATTGCAATATATATATATATATATATAATCACATTAGGTAATTCCGTAGGTTTTATTTAAGGAAAGTCTATGAAATAATAAATATTTGATATATGCGACCAATTACTGTGTGTAAAATATTATATTGTTAGAGAATATAATTTTTAGACTATAGTTTATATAAGGTTCTCGAGAATCTTTCTAAATTGAATTAAAAAGCATAGAGAAGTGCCGCGTAGGATATAGTTATTTTTTTAATTAATACAAACTTAGGGTTATACCTTTTCAAATGTTTCTCAATTAATATATATAAGATTTGGTAGCCGAACTAAGTAATATTAACCTTGGCAGGGTTAGGCAAGGAAGAGGGGATCGGTCAAACCTGACTTATTCTTGGGTTCACCCCTAAGATAAATCTATAGGTTCACCATCCAATATGATTGCATCATTTCATATTTGATATTTTTTTAAAAGGAAACAAAATTTTATTAAGTTATATTATGCCTAAAATAAAAATACCAAAAAAATTATTAATAAAAACGAAAATATTTTAACACTAAACTCTAGAGTCTAATCCTAGGTAAATCACAAACCTTTGGATAAATCTATAAAAAAATTAGTGTTTATGATTTACCCAAGGGTTTATGGTTTAGGATTAGAGTTTAGGGTTTAGTGTTTATGATTTACCCAAGGGTTTAGGATTTAGGATTAGAGTTTATGGTTTAGTGTTTTAGTGAAAAGAATTTTTTTGAAGATTTTTTTTATATGTTTATGATTTACCTAGAGGTTTAGGGTTTAGGATTAGAGTTTAAGGTTTAGTGTTAAAATATTTTTTTTAAAAGAATTATTTTTTCATTTTTATTAATTATTATTGTTATTTATTTATTTTTGTATTTTTATTTTTAAAAACATATCAAACATGAATTGATGCAATCCTATTGGATGGTGATTCTAGAACTTCACCATAGGGAGTGAATCCAAGAATACCTCGCCGAACCTCTTGTTTGGGTTTACATCTTAATTTTTGCACATTCTCTTAACATTACTAAATAGTTATACTGTATACTCCAGCCAAAAAACTTTATAACTTCACTACTGCATATGCCTTTCATCCGTCAAATTAAATAATATCTAGACGAAGTTCTTAATAATGTATGATTACTGTAATTAATGCAGAATCACCTCCATCAACATAAATAGAGGTGGACTCTATTATGGTTTGATGCTCATTCCATACGTTTGGTGTCCAGCGTGACACAAAAGTAAACATTCCCTTAAAATAAACATATCAAATCATAAAGATGTAGAAATCATGAATGTGAGGAACCAATTAGTAGATGAGGAGAGGGAAACTTTCCATATTTAGAAATCAATTGTATTAACATCGACGCAACAGTAGTGTTCTTTTTTGGGTTGCTTAGATATAATTATTGCTTGGAATCAAAATTCGCACACCATGGGGTCCCAAAACAATCACTACCCACTTCTACCTTTTGCTACCATTTATGTAATAGTATTAATATCAATTTCATATAAATTAAAAATATAATTACTAGATTTAGTCAGAATTTACTAGAATAATATATGACTTAATAAAGGAGTAACAATAACATGCATGTGATATTAACTTTATAACATGAAATAAAATCTTTCCATCTTTAGAAAAAAATGGACTTTTTAAAAATGACGTGCGAAGAAAACCACAAACATTAAGCAAAAAAAAAGAAAAGAAAAAGAAAACTCCAAACACGATCTGTTCCAACTATTCACCACTCTGAGAAGGCAACAGAACCAAGAACGAGTAAAATTCCTACACGTTTCTTGTTCTTATTGGTTACCAGTCAACGTGGTTGTCAGCTCAATTAAGTGAATAAGATTAACAAGTTTAATATAATTTAAACCAGGATATTTATTAATTTATCCTATAAAATGGAAACAAAATATCTAAAAACCCCTTAAAGAGGAAAAAGCTTACCCCTTAAAATGGCAGGTTGTGTCGAGGTAGTAGCAAGCACACACTTGTCGTCTCTCCCCCGCGACTTTTCTCGTGTTTCCGCAGTCACCAATAACATTAGGTGAGAAAATCTTAAATCTTTTTTTTTTTGAGATCTGTCTTTGTCTGATCATCCCTTGAACTGTTATCTTTCTTTTGTCTTTTGTCCGATTCGTTTACATCTGATCTGTGTTTTTTTTGTTCTCTCTGTTTGTTGTAAATCAAGTACTAGTAATGAAGTAGTAACTACTTGTAGTGGAATAATAATTCAAAGTCCTCTTCTTTTTGGTTCCTTAACTTGAACAGATCTATCATTTTTGTTTTTTCTTGGGTTTCTTGAATTATCTTTTGAGTTCATTCATAAACTTTCAAGAATGTTTGATCTTAATCTCCTTTGTGTTTTGGTCTGAAACCAAAGATCATTTGGGTGCTTAGATACACATATAGGTAACAAGGGTCCAGCTTATACCCTCTGGATCCAACTTCTATGATATGTTTTATGATTTATTGCTTATGTAGTTAAAGTGTGACACATTTTTATATGAGAGTTTCTCTCTTTTTGCTTTGATGTTGTAACTTGTCATGATTAAACATTAACAATGTGACACAAAGGTATGTGGTCTACTCTTAATCCCATTTCAGTTTTACCTCAACTGTATGTTTTTTTGCTCTCTTATAGGTTAAAGCTGAAAAGGGTCTGATTCGTTTGGTTTCAAGATCTGAAGAGGAAAGTGATGGGTACTCACATCAATTTCAACAGCTTAGGCGTAGTAGACTCTGCAGGAGGCAATGGGAGTGACAATAACCAGTCAAAGCCATTGGGGAGGCAGTCTTCGTTATATTCGTTAACATTTGATGAGCTTCAGAGCACATTAGGTGAGCCAGGGAAAGATTTTGGGTCAATGAATATGGATGAGCTTCTCAAGAACATATGGACTGCTGAGGAAACTCAAGCCATCATGACAACTACACCCTCCATTGCAGCCGTGCAACCAGGAGGGAATCTTCTACAGAGGCAAGGCTCCTTGACTCTGCCTAGAACGTTTAGTCAGAAAACTGTTGATGAGGTCTGGAAAAACTTGGTGTCCAAAGATAGTTCTAATGGGAGGGATGCGCCTGAGAGGCAGGGGACTTTAGGGGAAATGACTTTGGAGGATTTCTTGCTCCGAGCTGGTGTTGTGAAAGAAGATAATAACTGTAGTCAACAGAATCAAAACACTAGTAGTGAGTTTTATGGTAACAACGGTGTTTCTGCTGGTTTGGGATTTGGATTTGGTCAGCCAAATCAAAACAACATATCATTCAACGGCAACAGTAGTTCTATGATCTTGAATCAAGCACCAGCAACAATGCAGCAGCAGCCACACCAACATCAGCTTCAGCAATCACATCAGAGATTGCCTCCAACTATTTATCCAAAGCAAGCGAATGTGAACAATAATAGTGGTTTTGCTGCTATGGGAAAAGCAGGGGTTACTATTGTATCTACTTCCCCCGGGACGAGTGCAGAAAACAATGCTTGGTCAGCACCAGTTCCTTATATGTTTGGTCAGGGAAGGAGAAGCAATACAGGAGTGGAAAAGGTTGTTGAGAGAAGACAAAAGAGAATGATCAAGAATCGAGAGTCAGCTGCTAGATCAAGGGCAAGAAAGCAGGTAAAGTGTTCATTACCTATTCTTTTTCAAGAACTTTGATATTGATTTCGATGTTCCCGTTAACCACAGGCTTACACCTTGGAACTCGAAGCCGAGATTGAGAACCTCAAGCAACGGAATCAAGATTTGCAGAGAAAACAGGTGTGTGTTTTCTACCACTTTTTGGCTTTTTCTTGCTTATACTTACAGAATCTAGCTGGTTCAGATCTCTAACTGAGCTTCTCTATGATAATACAGGCTGAAATCATGAAAACAGAAAAGAATGAGGTGAAGACATTCTTCCTTTTTTTTACTGTTTTTCTTCCTCAACACTACTCACAACAAAAGACTCTTTACAATTGTCTAACTGAAGGTGTCTACTGTCTTGTTTACAGCTAAAGGAATCCCCAAAGCAGCGTCCGTGGCTGGCCAAAACGCAATGCTTGAGAAGAACCCTTACTGGTCCATGGTAAGAAGGCAAAATAAAAGCAAGAAGAGCCTGGTAATGTAGAACAACACCCATCAAGAGGAAGATTTTGGCTTTAGCTCGCTAAGACTTGGGACTTGGAAGACAAAAAATTGTAATAGAAGATAGTTTCTACTGTACAGGAGAGATGCAGAGAAGCTTACAATGTAGAAATCTTTTGAACTGAATCTACTTAAGAGTGCAGAGTATGAGAGAGCTTTCAATATGAATTCATAAATTTTATATTTATATATAATCTTAAAAGATTGAGCTTGGCTAACTCAGAAAGAGAGTCCATTTATTGGAGAGTGAGGTACACTCTGGCTGCCAAGCGACTTGGAAGATGATGAACCAACGAATCGGTTATTATTGCTTCGTTGAAACCTCAAAACGGTTCTCTGCATAGTGTCTTGTCCTATCTCCTCATCAACCGCTTTAGCAAATCCGCTATGCAATGGATCATAGCTTTCACACAACATCCTCAAGACTTGTTTAATCGATGGCCTAGACCGGCCTTCTTTCTCAGTACACATTCTCACAACCGTCACAGCCGCTTCAAGCTGTTTTCCTCCATGATCATCATCATCAATGGAGTCTTTGATTCTTGGGTCTACCAAATCCTTGTGTCTTGCTTTGGTCACTAGAAACCTCTGAGACGTTTCAACAAGATTTATACCTTCATCAACCGCTCTTCTTCCAGTTATAATCTCAAGCAACACAACTCCGTAGCTGTACACATCACTCTTCTCTGTCAGCTCTTGTGTCACCACGTACTCTGGATCTACATAACCTGAAAAAAAACATATTTTAAGACTCAGTTTACATCAAAAGTAGTGAAGTTGTTGTGTTATGTATCACTCTTCCTTAACCTGGAGTTCCATGGATATCAGTATTCACAGGCTCAAAGCAAACAGATCCATCTCTAGACGAATGTGCAAGGCCAAAATCTGAAAGCTGCAACAAGAAAACATTATTAAAACAAGTCGAATGGTTTATGTAATATAGATGATGAGAGATGGTATGTACATACTTTAGCTACAAATTTCTCATCAAGTAATATATTGCTTGATTTAATGTCTCTGTGGCAGAGAGGTGGATCACAATAGAAATGAAGATATTCCTGGATGAGAGAACAACGTTGCAGTCAAGAATATTAAAAAAAAAAACTGTTAAGAGATTTGTAATGAAACTAAAAGGGTATATTAGTAAGAGGATTTACCAAAGCATTAGCCACATGGATCGCTATTTTCATTCTTGTTTCCCAACTAAGAGGAGGCCTCTCTGTAGCTACATTGAAGAACAGTTTCAGCTCGTTGGATTTTTTAAGTATAATGTAAAAGAAGCAAGCATATACATACAATGTAGATGCTCTTTTAAGCTGCCATTTTCCATATAGTCATAGATGAGGAACCTGAAAAGGTTGAAGGAAAAGAAATTGATGAGAATACTCTTCAAAACTTTTACAAAAGAAAAAAGCAATGTATGTTAGTTACTTCACCTTTCTTTCTTTTCAATGCAAAAGCCTTTCAAGGCAACAAGGTTACGGTGATGAAGCTTAGCTAAAAGCTCTATCTCTCTGCAGAAGTCTTGTTTAGATTGTTCAGAAGCTTTGTCCATTCTTTTTACAGCTGCAACCAATCCATCGCTGAACTCGGCTTTGTAAACGGTCCCAAAACCTCCATGACCAATCACCGTCTTGAATTCATTAGTTGCAGTTCTCATTTCCTTGTAGCTGAACTTTTGGAAAGGAGAAGAATCATCTACATAGAGACAGTTGTATCAGTTTATCATTATTTTTGAATACTAAAAGGTTCCGGACCGAAAACCACATCATGTAATATTAGTTTCGTCCTAATCAGTCTATCCACACTTTGTTTTTCTTCACCTTGATGAATCTTGAATACAGGCCGGGGAGAAGGAAGTGTTTTTGTTGATTTTCTATCCAAACTCTCGGATTCATCGAGTTCCCGGTTCTTTCTACGGATAAGAATCACCAGAACCACGAGCATTGTAAGAGAAACAGCTGTAACAACTATCCCAATGGTTGGAACCAATGTCAAGTGATATGGATTGTTGTTGCTTTCACTTGGACTCATCAGAGTATCACTCTTGCTTGGGCCATCAGCACCAACCATGCTTGGAGACGGTCCTGGACTCGCCACCGGTGGAACTGACTCTGTCCATAAGCAAACCAAATCATAAAAACAGGATACAAACTGAATGTGATGCTAAGAAAAATTGTCTAACCTGAACTTGAAGGAACAAAACTAAGCTCTGTCACTTGAAAGAAACAACTAAGCAGCTCAAGAGCCGAAGCATCATCCATACGGCTTGCTAATGTAGCGTAAGTCGCATCACGACAAGTACTCATAGTAACGTTATTAGTATCTGCACCAAGTAGATTACGAAGGTAAGTGATACCAGAGTTCAAACACTTCCTGCATTGGTTAACCGGAGAAAGCGGGCCCTTGCAGTTTCTTGTGACATGTCCAAACGTTGGAGACTGATGCATTTGCGTTACAGTGGTCCGACCTTCGCAGTTGTACCTGACGAGGATCTTGGTTCCTAGACCGCAGAAACTAGTGGCGTTTCTAGAGACGCCATAGAGCTCCATTGTTTTGGAGATGGAAGCAATGCAGGTTTGAGATAGATCCGATGCGACTCCGAGATTGTTTGACAAGTTGGCGTAACGAGCCACGGAGATAGCAACGAAAGCGTTCATGTAGCGGCAGCATTTGCCTCTGTTGGTTATGTTGGAGCAGACGGAAGCTACTAGAGTGAAATTTGATGAAGTGAAATCTAATGGACAATCTGCAGACACATAGACAGAACAATGCAGTAACGTTAGTGTCTGAAACAGAGAAGCAAAGAACAGAGATTTGCATCATAAACAAAATCCAAAACAGTAGCTTTTTACTCATTGGTTTTTAAACAGTTAACTTTTTTCAAGATCTGTTTTCAGTCCAAAACAGAGTATTTGCATGTAAGCAACTCATTCACCAGCAACTCATCAAAACTCAACATCTAGTTCAAAGAAAGCAACGAAATTCTGGAAACCCAGAAGCTCAAAATCTGATTTTGATGAAAAGGACCACCCATATTATCTTGATTTAGCTTTTTGAGATAAGGAAACAGAGGAAAATCTAGAAAAGCAAACCTGCAGCCATTAGTGAAGACAGTTGGGTTCCAATTAATGCAATTAATGCCAACAGGAAAGCTTGACTATTCACCACCATGGCCAAGAGCAACCAAAGAGAGAGAGAGAGAGAGAGAGAGAGATAGAGATTATAAAAAGGGTTATGGAAGGTCTCTGTGATATGACATTCGAGAGTCTGTATACTCTCTCACTTGACAAGGAAAGAGACAAAGAATCACACCACTCTTATTCAATTTCGTGATGAAAAACGACGAAATGTTTTTAAAGAAGTCCCTAACTTATAATTTCATCTCGTTCTCATCCATACGAAAATAAATAAAACATCCTCACTTTGTTTTATGTTCTAACAAATCATGTTTAATTTATTCGAATGGTGTTATAAGATTAGTTTCACTCATGTGAAGTTTTCTTTGATTGGTTCAAAGCAACACTAGTGCGTAATTAGTAGGATTAACAGAAGTTTAAAATGGATGCTCGCATGTTAATTCTCATAATCTATATTGTATGATGATGTCTCTCATAACAATGATTATGTATGTAAAACCGTTAAATTAGTATATAATTTCCTAAAAAGGATGATTATAGTTCTGTCCTTTTCTTGGAGAAGAAGAAAGGTACTGGCTCTGAATGAAAATAAAATATAAACATTTTTCAAGTGTTTTAAAAAGAGAAAGCGACGCAGTTGGATAAAATGGATAATGGGTTCGAGGGATATTAGACCTAAATTATCCTAGTTTTAGTTTTTCAAAAATAAAATTCTATATCAATTATCGAATTCAAAAAAAAAAGAAAAATTGAGAAATGAAAGAAGCAATGTGAACCTAAATGCTCTGCATAACGGTGGTGGGGGTCACTCACATGTGTACACCCTGTCATATCACAGGCCTCAACCGCAACATTTTTCTGTTTGATGTTTGATTTTTACAACATATTTCTGTGTTATAAAATTCTGAACTTTTCAAACAGCATGAAAATGATTCAGTCTGTGTCAAATTTTCATGATTTATATAAGCCATAATTCCAAGTTTGCTTTCATACTTGTTAGACATGAATTGCATCCCTCAATAAAACCCACCGAATACAAGAGCTCGGTTCAAAAGCTCGCTTAAGAATTCGGCCTATTAACCTCGGCCCAGTATTTAATCAAATCGACTTAAGAATAAGCAGTTGAGGAGAGATCCCGCTATAAACAGAGACTGAAAAACACTCCTACGCACAGCGCAAACTATTAAATCAAATCGACTTATGTTTTAAGTAACTTTACTCTCGCTAATCTTCTCTAGATATTATTCAAACAAGCATCCTTGTATTCTCTCTTGATTAATCAATAAAGTGTATTTCAAATAACCCACAATCGAGTTTGTTCAATTCTCTTTAAAATTGACCGAGAATTACAGATTCAACAATACCTGCCTCAAATTGTTCTGTGTGGCTCAAACAAATTCGTTTGATAAATAAATTAAGATGGAAAGATATTTTTGAAATTGGTTTAAAATGTAGTAGACTGTGCTGGTTTGGGCGCCCATTTACTCTCTTCGCCGAATATGGTGTTTTACAGAACGACATTGAAGGCTTATTATCAATGGACCACTTACAAAATAAGGTATGTGAAAGTGATTGTGTGCAAACGTTATAATGGAAAATAACATTTGCCTTTCAATTTCGTCAAGACTCTTCTCATCTAATGTGTATACATATCCTCAGTCAAAGACTTTTAGATAACAAACACGGCTCTCTGAAAGATACACCACATTATTGATATATCTTCCCATCATCATTGGTGTATCATAATAAGTTGCAAGCAAAACAAATACTAAGCAATTTTTATTTTGTATGTTCAGGTTTTATTTCGTTTTGACATTGTTCATAACCATATACATCCATAACCAAACCAAATTAGTAACATATTCAGTTTATCATTCAAGCGCAATTGGCTCAAGCGGTTTGAAGACTTTTGAAAAAGTCTTCCTAGACTCAAGCCTCACTCACTAATTAGATTTAAATTTGGAGAAGAACTTCATTTATCAAAAACTAACTCTAAAGATTAAAAATCTCTCTAAAGTCCAGTTGTAGAAAAACGTATTCGACGATTTTACCCAAAGAAAAACGTATTAGACAAATTACCAAGAATCAAACCAGTGTAACGACATCATCAGTAGCCAAATATAGAAACGTTAGCTGGCGCAGAAGTCATAATTGGCCGAGTTATTGACATCAAATGTAGAAATGTTAGCTGGCGTAGAAGTCACAATTGGCCGAGTTATTCAGAGTTCTGGACCAATAGTATTTTTGTGGCTCATAATTCGTGGACTATATTGCATATAACATTGGAATATATAAAATATGTTTCACTTAAAAACTAAAAAATAATAAAAATAAAAGAAAGAGGCCATGAAAAGAAAAACGCGCAACAGCAACCCACTTTTGCAGCTTTAGTATCATCGTCTCTTTGACCGACACGCGCGCACTTCCGTTCACTCTTATATTTTATCCTTAAAATCCTCAGATTCTTTACTATTTTCTTGCTTTTGTTATTTTGTTTCTTGCTCATACGAATCTTCACGCAAAAGCAAACAATAGTGATGATGATGGTGTAGCTCTACTTTGCCTCCTCTTCTTTCATTTTCTTGGCGAAGAAAACCATGTTTCAAAGATTAGTCTTCCTTCTCATCGCTCTTCTGATTCAATCTTCTTTCCTTCTTGAGGCTTCCTCTGCTCTCAAGGTAACCAAAAATCTCATCAAACTCACAACACTTCACTTTGTGTCTTATCCTCTCTTCCAACAAAAACAGAGGATCTTTGTCTCCCTACATCTTTTCTGGTTTTAATGAAACGTGTTGCTAATCCTTGAGAACTAAGAAATGGGTTTCAATGCAAAAAAATCATAATCATTTTTTCTTTTTTTTGATATATATTTTGGTTTGGATCGTAGGAAGGAAAGACATGCATTCTAAACAAGAACTGTGATGCTGGACTACACTGTGAAACATGTCTAGCCAACAATAACCTGAGACCCAGATGCTCTCGCATTCAACCCATCAATCCCATCTCAAAGGTTCACACTTTTCTACGTTTATCACATGGACACGTTTGAGGACAATAGATGAGAGCCTAGATCTAGATAATATAAAACCAAATGAAGATAGGTAAAGTTAGCCAATCAATCTATCATAAGGATGAGTTAAGAAACACAGTGTTATAATTTTTTAGTGTTATGTTTTTAAATATGTGTATAGGTTAACTTATCTCATGCAATCTGCTAAACCCATTTGATATCATTAAAGTTTAGACGTTAAAAGAATCATATGGACCAGTTTTCATTTAAACTAAGAAACAAATTGTTCATATATCAAAAGGTAAAGGGCTTGCCTTTCAACAAGTACTCATGGTTAACAACACACAACTCGTTTGCTCGGTTGGGTGAAGTATCAAAGACCGGTTCTGTGATCTTGGCTCCTACCAATCAACAAGATTCAATCACAAGCCAACTCACTGTAAGCTTCTTCCTTCCATACTCATTACAACGTTTCCAACATCAGTAAAATCTTTCAAAGATTTCTTGCAAAATGTGAATCTTTTTTTTTAATTGTTATTTTTGCAGAACGGTGTAAGAGGGTTTATGCTCGACATGTACGACTTCGAAAACGATGTCTGGCTTTGTCATTCTTTCGATGGGATGTGTTTTAATTTCACGGCTTTTGTAAGTTTAAATACATTTTTCCTCTGTTATGTATTACATACAATTATGCCAGCTCTGTGATTTTGGAAGCCATAGACTATTGATTAAGTAGTTTAATAATACGTTTTATAATTTAAGAACAGATGTTTATAAATAATAACTTTTAAAAATTTGGGATCCAAAACCAATGTTTCACTTCGCTATGTGACCATGTTTTGTGTTTGTTTGTTTGTTTGGTGTACAATGGCAGCAACCGGCGGTAAACGTTCTAAGGGAGATTCAAGTGTTTCTAGAGAATAACAAGGACGAAGTTGTAACGATTATTATAGAAGACTATGTGAAATCTCCCAAGGGTTTAACAAGAGTGTTTAACACGGCAGGGTTACAAAAGTTCATGTTTCCGGTTAGTAGAATGCCCAAAAATGGAGGAGATTGGCCAACTCTTGACGACATGATACGACAAAACCAAAGGTTGCTAGTTTTTACATCTGATAGAAGTAAAGAAGCAACCGAAGGAATCGCATATCAGTGGAAGTATATGGTTGAGAATCAATGTGAGTCCCTGTGTATATGATGCAAAACCATATTATATACACAATTTTTATGAACATAATTTATTTGTTAATTAATGAAAAAAAATTGCAGATGGAAATGGAGGGTTGAAAGCAGGAGCGTGTCCAAACAGAGCTCAATCAGCACCGATGAGCGATAAATCGAAATCTCTTGTTTTTGCTAACCATTTTCCAGATGCACCTGATTTTGTAGTAGCATGTAAACAAAACTCTGCTCCTCTGCTTGAATCTATCAAGGCATGTTACCAAGCCGCGGGACAAAGATGGCCTAACTTCATAGCAGTCGATTTCTACAAGGTATATATATAGTTGTAGGTTTGGATTTGGTCTTATTACTACACATTAATTATAACTTAAGTATTCATTTTTGTGTATGTGGTTCAGAGAAGTGATGGAGGAGGGGCTCCGCAAGCTGTTGATGTTACTAATGGCAATTTGATATGCGGTTGCGATAATTTTGCTGCGTGCAAGGTTGTTTTCTTGATCTAATTTGGATATAATTAAAGTCGTTATGTAATATTCTATATCTTGTTGAAACAATTCAATGTAATTTGTAGGCGAACGGGCAGTGTGGATAAGAGGACAAACTGAGCAACCGGAGACAACTCGCATGACTCGTTGATTTACCCATCAAAGATGTTGACTTTCTGAGCCACTTGACTTTTCAGTGTACTGCTTAGGTGATTGATATGTTCCATTATCCTAAAATTTCCTAATCTTAGACGAACCAATCACTAAACAATATGTCTATATGACACAAGTAAATGAATGTGAAACACTATTATTTCTTCAGAGTATTTTAGCAATGAGATTTATGTCTTAATTTGTAGGTTTTTTTTTGTGAAAGGGCGTTTTATAATAGCTGAGAATTTATAACTAGATCATGTGCGTTATTCGACATGGCCAATTATTCGGATAACCGGATTTTTTTGCTTATTAATCAAGTATGATTAGAAATTTAGAACCAAACATATTCCATGATCAACAACGGTGGTGAAAAAACATATTTCATTATCATTTTCGTTGGTCAAGTAGATAAGGTAAGGAAAATATTGCCTGATTTTCAAAAAATTGAGGATCCAAATTATCCAATACACTAAGAAAAGAAAGTGGACTACATAAATACGTAAATTGTAGTAAAATGAAGAATTGTTAAAGCTTAAATGCGATATCTAGCTAGAAGAAAGTAAAGAGTTATATCGTTTATTAACACATCGATCATAATACAACAGAAAAGATTATCGGTTCCAAATACCGGCCTGGTTAAGTGCCCCGTAAGATACCGGAGAAGAAGCTTGAGTTTCTTTCACTTCCAAATGTTCTTGATCCATAACCCGGCTTGGATTCTTACCGCAAGGGATCCGAAACATAGACTTTGAATTAGGACAAGTCTGTCTCCGCATGAAGAAGTTAGCACACTCCGTTGGCGTTTTCTGGTTTGGAAGATCAAGAATACAATTCATACGAACGTCGAGAATGTTTCTCTTGATTAGCTTTCTACATTTTGGACCGACCTGGGTGAAGTAATTATAAGATAGAGAAAGGTTCTTGGGACAAGAAATCTCGCAAACGATCTCAGGTATGGTTCCATAGAATTCGTTTCTGGCTAAGATGAGTTGTTCCATCATGTCTAAGCAACCAAAAGAGTATGGAACTGGACCGGTTAGCTGATTATTCCCTACATCAAAAACAGTGGCTCGGTTTAGCTTGCGTGTTTGATAGGGTAAGCATCCGGTTAACTTGTTATTCAAGAAAAGGACTTCCTGTAGGTACTTGATGTTGCCGATGCTACGGGGAATTTGACCCATGAACCTAGGAGCACTTCCAAAGGGAGTTTTTAGGAGAACAAAACTTGGGTTCACCCCTATGGTGAATTCTTAAATTCACCTCAATCCTCAACACCAATCAAATTGCCACGTTGGATTAATAAAAAAAAATATTAAAACTAGAAAAAAAGGAAAATAGCTAAAAGAAAGGGAAAAAGGGTAGACGTCACCTTAACGGCGGAATAGAACGTAATCTCCATGGCTTCTTCTTCATTATCCATAAAAAAAAAGATAGGAAGAAAGTTTTGTTTGTCAAGTTTGAGTCTCCGATTCTATGATTTCAATTCCAATTTCGATTTCACCTTCTCCAAATACAGTCATGTTGCCTTATAAAATATAAGCTAGAAAGATCAGCTTGTCTGTAAAAACTGTCGCTGGAGATGAAGAAGATGATGGTATGGAATTCATATTTGCAGGCCGGACAGTAAAAGGTAGTTTTTATTGCTTAGTTGTGTTCAGAGAGATATAAAACTCCCTGTTGTTATTTCTTTTAGCTTGGCAGGCTCTTGATCCCCATATAGATTTGGGTTTAGTCTTTAAAGTGTTGTGAAGACTTAGACCCTGAATGTACTCCAAATGAGAAATACATACTTGATGAAACGAAGACTCTTCTTGTCAGCCTGCCTTTGACCAATGATCGTAGTACATATCAGGAAGACAGTAAAAGCATGCGCGACTCAGTAACATGAACTATATCTATAGAGGTCTGATCACGACAACTAAGAAATCAAAGGAAAATAAAATGTTAAAAGGCATGAAGAATCTCATATTGGTAAAAGTTACATACTGAAAGCCACAACAACTACTCTTTAATACAAACGGATTTCATCTCATCCTCACACTCATACTACTCTTGATACAGTGCTATTTGTTTTTTGGTAATATGATCTTTGAGTGTGTGTGTGAAGTTACTCAAAAAAACATATATGACCTTTGAAAGCAAAGGAACCAAAATCAACAAACAGTCTAAACTAGTTACTTCCATAAAACAATGTACTCATGTTACTTTGGAAACATAAGGAACAGAATAAATCGTGAGATTTTATATATTGACTTAAGCTTTTACAAATGAATAAACTTGTTTAAACAACGATCTTCACATCACTAGTTTCCTTGTCTTTGTTGGTTCTCTTGTGAAGCCCTGGCCACGTCTTTCATGAGCTCCACAAGGTTTGTCAAGAATCATATCGATTGTACACTCAGATTTACGTTCTTGTTCTCTGATCCTCTGCCTCCAAAGTTCAGTCAGGGCTGATGCAGCATTGCAAATCGCACGGTCCTTGTGCTTTGTGAGTCCTTGAAGCCTCTCCATAATCCTCCTTGGATCATTAGGTATTGGAGTGATGTTCATCTTCATCTGTGTGAGTCCCTGAAGCCTCTCCATAATCGAGATAGCCTCAACGCAGCGGGATGCGTCTGAGAGAATACCCTTAGGTTAACGGAGATTCTACATAATTGATGTTCTTAATTTTAAAGAGAATAAAAAAGAGAAAAGCATCGTACTTTATTTTAATAAGGATTCTAAATAATTGATTATCTGCTTTGTGGGTAACGAAGAAGAAGCTATGTGGGTGATGAAGAAGAAACCGACGGTGTTAACAACTAACCCTAAGTCGACGTTTTCTTTTTTTGCTATTTTCCATTTTATCTTTTTAGTTTACTTTATTTTAATAAGGATTCTAAATAATTGATTATCTGCTTTGTGGATAACGAAGAAAAAGCTCTGTGGGTGATGAAGAAGAAACCGACGGTGTTAACAACTAACCTAAGTCGACGTTTTCTTTTTTGCTATTCTCCATTTTATCTTTTTAGTTTTAATACTTTTTAATTAAATATATGTGGCAATTTTATTGGTGCTAAGGATTGAGGTGAATTTGAGAATTCACCATAGGGGGTGAACCCAAGTTTTGTTCTTTTTAGGAGGGAGTTCTTAAGAAAAAAATAATTAAATAATTAATAGATCTTATAAAAAAATTAAGGATTCAATCTTTAAAATCCCTAAATAATGATTGTTTTTAGTGAAATCTTGCACTGTTTGCGGGTCCCCACGACACGTGGCAATCTATAATTCGTTGATATTTTATTTATTTATTTTTTTAAATCTGAAAAATAAAAAAAATAATAATAAAAAAATTTAAAAATATTTTTTCTTAAGAACTCGAACGGATAACACCGTTGGAGATGCTCTAAGTCACATGACAAAAAAAGATACAAGAAAATCATTTAGATACTTAATAAATCAGACACTATAATAATTAGTTACTGTAACTAGGTAGGGACACCGGACACACATACAATAAAATTCTAGACATCAGCACCAGTTTAAATTTTATTTTGTTGGTTATTTTATTGCAGTTAGTAAAAAAAATATTTCAGCTGGTTTTTTTTTTTTTTTTTTTTTTTTTTTTTTTGTCACGTGGGGAAATCTCACCCAGGAATCCCTGAAGGCGGAGTCGAACCCCGGTGCCTTGGGTACCACTTAGCCACTAGGCTAAGGCTGACCCGGCATTTCAGCTGGTTTATATATTTGCTTTTTGTAACGAAAGTTAATATTTCTCCCTCCAATTGAGTCCCTTAATTAACAAATATTTCTATCTAAAAATGTCCATGTCCCTACTGAATTTCATTAGCCCTGAAAAGGTTAAAAACTTAATCTAAAACCTAACCTGTTGTTGGCGAATGTGAGATAGAGAGCAGTGATGGAGCCAAGATTGCGTGGAAGGTTCTGAACAAGATTGTTAAGTTGTTGATGAATAAGACGTCAAGATCTAGATTAAATACTTGAGAGGAGGAACACATCCTGAGAAAGTATTGAACCTGAGATCAAGAAACGTGATATTCATGGCTTTTAAGACAGAAGTTGAGAAATCTCCGGAGAGTTTGTTGCTGCTTAGATCGAGCTCGTATATTTTAAGTTGCTGACTTTAGGCACACATCCTATGAGGTTTGATATGGGTGGTGAGCGTGGAGGCTTCTGTGGTGGTTTTAAGGAAGGTGTAGGAGGACATGAAAGAGGAGGAGGTGGTGGAGGAGGGCAGTCTTCAGGTTCAGGTGACAGGTTCAGGTGACGTCACCGCCGTCAATGATGATTTCAAAGGATTTTCTGTCGGTGATGTGGTTGTCTCCGGTAGGTATAGTGAAATGGAGATGTGAAAGCGAAAGAAGGAGAAGAAGAACAAAGGAAATGGACATCTTTTTGTTTTGTGGATATACTTCTTTGTTAGTTCAAATTTGATTTATGAAATTATGATGTGAGTCTTGAGGATAAGCTTTGGGATTATAAATGGAGAGACATTTTAGAGCAGAGAAAATGAGAAAACTCATAAGAAATTTGAGAAGTCAATGGACATCTTTTTGGCTAGTAGGAGGTAGTACTCATTATTTTAGATAAATGTAAGTATTAGGCATGTTTTGCATGGATCTAATATCCTAGAATATTAAGGTATTTCTTTCCTTTTACACTTTTCAGTCATACACTTATAGTAAGCAAATTATGGTCAATTAAAATATACAAAGCCAAATATTAGATGAAAGTTTGTAAAAATATGAAGGTAAGCTTGGTTTTTGTATGATTTTTCGTGAATATGCAGCTACTTATTTTATATATACATCAATTAATTTAAGGAGTAAAAAAGAGTGATCACATTCTTTGATATATATGTGCAAGAGAGGGGAGGAGGTGATATTGATAGCTTATGCGGCATAAGAATAACAGTCGCGCCTTCCTTTAAAGTAACATTTACTGCTTGCGGATGCCTAGTTTATCTCGCCTATGGTGCTTTGCAAAATGGATGAAAAATAGCAATTAAAAGTTTCGAAAGTTATGCTTCCGGGGCCAAGTGATGGTAACATACATGCTTTAGGAGAAAAAAATGACATATACCTCTCGTCAATGTCTTTCCTTCATGTTAATTAGATAGGCACTTGACATGCCGTTTTCAACATTCGTACTTCAGACGTGTTGGTGGTGGCTTAGGCCTATAACAATTTCTTTAAACGCGACATGCGACTAAGCTGCTCAGCAGCAGAAATATCATGGCAAGAATTAAAACGGATACCGGATTCAGTTTCCTCATCTATAGAAGTAATTTCTTCCGAGGCTCTTGTCGAAGCACCTCTTCTATGATATTGTGCTACTCAATGGTTGAGCAATTTGAGCAACATTTGCGTGTTCATTTAATGAGACATCGATATAGCACCGTTTAATATTAAATGCATAGATGTCCAATCAACATCATAATAAGTGTCGATGCACGGAAGGAACAACCATACCGTTCACCGCCCGCCCTTGGCATGCCCACTTTGCTAGAAACAAAAGCAATTCGTAAAATTTCCTACCATACGAAAGATGTTGTATATCCCATTTGACAACCAAATAAAAAATGGCATGGTGACTCAATCTGCTTAAGGATACTTAGATCCTGTACAAATCCACAATAACAGCATGCACCCTTACGAGAACGGCCGATTAGTACCTGAACTATGGTCATATTGTCTGATCAATACCCAAACTATTTCACTGTGCGAATTTGTATATGATCTAATACAAATTTTGAATTTAGTACCTGAACTATGGTCATATTGGCTAATCAATATCCAAACTATTTTACTATGCGAATTTGTACCTAATCTAATAAAAATTTTGAATTTGGTACCTGAACTTATAAAATCTGACTTTTACATATTTACGACTGACAACATGTCGATATTCTGCTGAGGTGGACCGGTTTTTTGACGAACTGGCGTTGTTTAAAATTTTTTTTTTTAAAGAAAACAGATATGAGGCCCCTTTGGTTCAACCCCGTTTCCGAACATATTCATAATAATTTCACTAATTGCTTATGCTGGATAAGATCCAAATGACGTTGGAATGGTGTCTCTGTTTATCACCACAATGTCTCAAATGATTCATCAATCTCATATAATTAATCGTTGTTTATCACCACCATATCTCAAATGATTCATCAAATCTCATATAATTAATCGTTGTTTTGATGAAAACATTTGATGAGATTTGATGAAACGAGATTAAAATAAGGATTATATGAGTTCAAAACAAAAAGAGATTTGATGAATCATCTGAGACATGGTTGTGACGAACGGAAACACCATTCAAAAGTTATATAGTTGTTTCGGTACAACAAAACGATCTGTTCTAGCATAAACGGTTATTGTCATTATTATGTTTATGTTTTGGGACCCGGCCGGGTTCGAATTAATTAAGTTGTCTCTTTTTTTTTTTTTTTTTTGAAACTACGTAAACTCATCAAGAAACCGGTCCATCTCAGTAGAACACCGACATGTTAGTCACATGTATGTAAAAGTCAGTTTTTTTAAGTTCATGTACAAAATTCAAAAATCTTATTAGATCAGGTACAAATTCGCACAGTAAAATAGTTTGGGTATTGATCAGACAATATGAGCATAGTTCAGGGACTAAATTCAAAATCTGTATTAGATCAGGTACAAATTCGCACAATAAAATAGTTTGAGTATTGATCAGACAATATGATCATAGTTCAGATACTAATCGGCCGTTTTCCCTTAAAAATAAATCACAAGAGAACAAGATGTAAGATCCATACACACAGAAAGCCCCCATGAAATTAGATAATGCTCAGATTAGGTTAGCATTGATGATCAATTGGGGTTTTAGAAGATTGGGCCATAAAAATCCAGTCCAGATTTCAAGAAACCTGTTACAGTTCTTGGTCCATTTTTATTCAGTGCCCAATTTATAAAACCGGTTTAGCATTGATCAATTGGGTTTTGTAATTTGCGTTTGTTATTTAAAAAAAAATATATTACATGTTTGTGTAGACAATTTAAACATGTCTGAACAAAACATTTTTATAACTATAACACTTTATAAACTTAACGCCGTTAACGTTGTTTTTCTCTCTATTTAATCCTCTCTTCTCTGAAATTACGACCGTAACTCATTACGTTAAAACATTAAATACTTACAGAAATCAGAACACATATAATTTTCTTTAGTTTTAATTAACCAAAAGAAAATCACATTTGTTTTTCTAAAAATTAAAAAAGAAAATAAATATGGCAAAACCAAATATGGAAACAAGCATCCACAGTGGGACCCAAAACACGACACGAAAGAATAAATCCAACGGCTGAGATTTCTCAGTGTCCATCAAAGCTATTAGGGTTTGGTGTGTAACCTTCCATATATAAACAAGGAAACCTCAAAGTAGCCTTTCCTCTTCGCATTTGAGCTTTGTCTCTGAGATAAGGTCACTCCCCTCTGACCCCTTTTATCAAAGCTCAACTCTGCATCTCTCTCGCCGCCGGAAAAAAAAATCCAATTTTTATTTTCCGGTCCTGAGAAACCTTCTTTGTTCCTCGTCGAGCTGATTCGGAGAGAGGAAGAAGAAGAAGAAAGATAATTTTCTTGAAAAAAAATGGCGCAGATTCAGCATCAGGGTCAGAATGCCAACGGCGGAGTGGCGGTTTCCGGCGCCGCCGCCGCTGCTGTCGGAGCGGCGCAGCAGGGGACGACGTCTCTGTACGTCGGCGATCTAGACCAGACCGTGACGGATTCGCAGCTGTTCGAGGCGTTTAGCCAAGCTGGACAGGTGGTTTCTGTTCGTGTCTGTAGGGACATGACGACAAGGAGATCTCTTGGTTACGGATACGTTAACTACGCCACTCCTCAAGATGGTAACTGTCTTTAAGATTAAATCTAGAATTGTTTGCATTATTATAAAATTGAATTGAGATCTGTCTTGGAGGATAGGGCATAGTGAGAGATAGTATGTTAATTCTGAATTTGGAAATTATATAAATAAAACTCTGGAAACCTTTTTTTTTAGGTTGTAGAGTGGTTTACAGTTTATAACAATGTGACATTTGTGTTCTTGGTAAAACTAATTATACTGCTTTGATTTACTAATCAAATCATTGCTTAAAGGTTGTGGTATTGTTCAGGTTTTAACGATTTGTTTGTACATTGCTGCAAGAAAACTATACTTAGATTCCATTAATGATTGAAGTGTTAGTTTGTATGTGTAAATGATTCTCCTGGTTGTTGTGACAGCTTCCAGGGCACTGAATGAGCTGAACTTCATGGCTCTCAACGGAAGGGCTATTAGAGTTATGTACTCTGTTCGTGATCCAAGTGTCCGTAAAAGCGGACTTGGTAACATCTTTATCAAGGTACATGTTTGAAATCTCCATGTATTCCATATTTGAACTTACTTGTTTGACATTTGTTTATCCATGTCTCAGAATCTTGACAAATCAATCGACCACAAAGCCCTCCACGAGACATTTTCTGCCTTTGGTCCTATCCTGTCTTGCAAAGTGGCTGTTGATCCCTCTGGCCAATCAAAAGGCTACGGCTTTGTGCAGTACGACACTGAAGAAGCAGCTCAGAGAGCCATTGAGCAATTGAATGGGATGCTTCTTAACGATAAGCAAGTCTACGTTGGACCCTTTGTTCACAAGCAGCAGAGAGATCCTTCTGGTGAGAAGGTCAAGTTCAACAACGTCTATGTCAAAAACCTCTCAGAGTCCTTGAGTGACGAGGAGCTGAAGAAAGTTTTTGAAGAGTTTGGAGTGACTACTAGCTGCGTTATCATGAGAGATGGGGAAGGCAAGTCTAAAGGATTTGGATTTGTCAATTTTGAGAATTCGGAAGACGCGGCCAAAGCTGTTGAGGCTCTCAATGGTAAGACATTTGACGACAAGGAGTGGTTTGTTGGGAGAGCTCAGAAGAAGTCAGAGAGGGAAAACGAACTCAAACAAAAGTATGAGCAAAGTTTAAAGGAGGCTGCAGACAAGTCTCAGGGGTCCAACTTGTATGTTAAGAACTTGGATGAGTCTGTCACAGATGATAAGCTCAGAGAGCATTTTGCTCCCTTTGGAACTATTACATCATGCAAGGTCTGTCACTGACACAATAAGAGGCACCACTTTTTTAATTCTTCAACAGATTTAGATTAATTATTTCTACATTTGAATGCGGCAGGTGATGCGTGACCCTACTGGAGTGAGTAGAGGATCTGGATTTGTCGCATTTTCAACTCCTGAGGAAGCATCTAGAGCTGTAAGTGACTACCATATAAAGAAGACGTGTCACTTTTTATATAGATCTCAACGTTTAACTTGTCAATGGTGCAGATTGCGGAGATGAATGGTAAAATGATTGTCTCAAAACCTCTATATGTCGCTCTTGCACAGAGGAAAGAAGACCGCAAAGCCAGGTTACAGGTATGGTTAACTTGATCTTGTGCTTTAACCTTAAACACGAGTTGACGTTATCATATTCACATTGTGCTCAATTTTCCTTCTCTTGCATTTCAGGCTCAGTTTTCACAGATGAGGCCAGTACCTGCGGTTGGTCCTAGGATGCCAATGTATCCACCAGGTGGTCCACCAATGGGTCAACAACTCTTCTATGGCCAGGGACCTCCCGCTATGATTCCTCCTCAGGTAAATGTCAAAAAGTTTTTTTTTAAGGCAAAAACAGGTGAAACCATTCTTATAACTCTTTTTCTCCATTGACAGCCTGGATACGGGTATCAACAACAGCTTGTACCCGGCATGAGACCTGGTGGGTCACCGATGCCAAACTTCTTCATGCCTATGATGCAACAAGGCCAGCAACAACAGCAGCAACAACGACCTGGTGGTGGTAGAAGAGGTGGAGCTCTTCCACAACCACAACAACCTTCTCCTATGATGCAACCACAGCAGGTTAAGTATCTTCTGCAGCCATTGTCTCTTTGAGATTCATTTTGCGTTTCTTATATTTTGCTTTCGTCTTCGTAATCTCCAGATGCATCCAAGGGGTAGAATGTATAGGTATCCACAGAGAGATGTAAACACAATGCCTGGTCTTACTCCAAACATGCTTTCTGTTCCTTATGACGTGTCTGGTGGTGCTCATCTTCGTGATTCACCTGCTGCTTCTCAACCTGTTCCTATTGGAGCTTTGGCTACATCACTCGCTAATGCAGCTCCAGAGCATCAGAGAACGGTAATATTGGAATGTTGTTTAGTCACTGAGACAAGTTTTTGTTTACTTAAAAGTGTTCTTTTTTTTCTCCTCCACAGATGCTTGGTGAGAATCTGTACCCACTTGTGGAGCAGCTTGAGCCAGAATCAGCAGCTAAAGTCACGGGAATGCTTCTTGAAATGGACCAAACCGAAGTACTACACTTGCTGGAATCTCCTGATGCACTTAAAGCTAAAGTTGCAGAGGCAATGGAGGTTCTGAGGAGTGTAGCTCAGCAGCAGCAAGCTGGTGGTGCAGCTGATCAGTTAGCTTCTCTGTCTCTTGGGGACAACATCGTACCTTGAATTCTCAAAGTACTTTGTTAGACTTTATTTTGTCCTTCGTGGAGAATCAGATACAAAGAGTGGTTCTTGAAAGTTTTGGATTCATGTTTTTGTTTTTTGCCGAGAGAGCTTTTTAATCTTTTATACTTTGGGAATCATTTCTCTCAATCTTTTTATCTACACTTTACCCGTTCGATAGATCTTGTTTTGCTTTTATCTATCCGTTTTAAACTTCCTCATAAAACGTTTGTTAAAGCGTTTGATGATCGTTGGTTTTGGTCACCAACGTTTTGTTGATCAAAGTCCCAAATGCAGCAAAACTAGCTTTGATGTCAAAAGTCTAATGAAATGGTCCAATCTCATTTAGGCTTTATTTATTTATTTATTATAGTTCATTTAGTTTTGATGGTAAAAAACAATGTTTCATCCAAATTGTGTTTTTCTTTATTTCTATATTGGGCAAAGGCTTTATATGTTTTGAGCAAATTTATAATGTATAATTATTTAATTATAATTTAATCGATTTTACAATTTATGATGTAAGTTTAAAAAATCTTTTTGTAAAAAACAATAAACTTTGACAACTATAAACATAGTTTTTTTTATATGCTGCACATACATGTTTAAAATCTTCGTGATTTCTGTTAACTATATATTTATCCTAAAAAGAGTAGCTTATATATCGTGTTAAAAAAAAAGTAACTTCTATTTTTTGTGGGTTTTCTATATATAATACTAGGGTGTGTCCGTGCGCGCGGATTGTTATTTTTAGATGTTATCTTGTGTAACTTGATGAATTGTGAAGTGTAAATTATTTTATTTTTATTAGTTGGTTGTTGGGATTGATGAGTGAATGTTCGTGTTGTGTGATTTGTGGTAAAGTTAGTGGATGAAGCATTTGGTATGTTCATTAGGTTGGAAGCTACTTGTACATTACGCTTTGGTATGAATTTTTTTTATACGAAACATGTTAGCTGTTATAGTGTAGTTTTACCCATAATTTGATAAAACATCGATGCATTGTGTGATAGGATTAAAGGATGTATGTGAGGAATAATTATTAATTTACTTGAGAATGTAACATTTGTTGTAAATAATAATTGATGAGATAAAAGATTTATATATATTATTATATTGTTCTATTTCTTAGTGGTAATAAAGAAAGTGTTATGTTTGTGTGTGTGCTCACGAGACAAGATGAGAGAGAGGTAAAATGTTTCTGATTTTCTTATTACCTTAGTCATGTACAAGACACACTATATATAGAAGAAGAAGTCGGTCTATTTAACGGATTTGACACAAGATGACAAACCAATATTTTTTTAATGGATAATCATAAATAATATTATTTTTAACAATCTTCCTTGATTATCCATTTTATATTATGTAGTGCCTCTTTAAAACCTTAGTCATGGAAAAACCCATTGAACTAAAAACCTTGAAAAAGGAAAAAGAATACACTAACGTAATCTCCCCTGAACATGATGGACATAGCTTTTTCTTCATAAGTCACGCAAATGTCGCATTCCGATACCATAGACGTGTTTTCGAAATATTGTAGTCGAAAGGGCCTTTGTAAACAAATCTGCGGGATTATCGCATGACCGTATATACTCGATGTCCACTTCTTTATTTTTCTCGAGCTGCTGTATGTACGAGAAAAATCTTGGAGGCATATACTTTGTTCTGTCGCTCTTGATATAGCCTTCTTTAAGTTGAGCAACACACGCCGAATTGTCTTCGAACATTTTCGTCGGCTTTTTCTTATCAACTATTCCACTTGCTTCTTGTATGTGGTAACTCATTGATTTAAGCCACACACATTCTCGACAGGCTTCGTGAAGTGCAATGGTTTCTGCATAATTAAAAGATGTTGCAACCAGAGTTTGCTTCTGCGAACGCCAAGAGATCGCTGTCCCACCAATTGTAAAAACATAGCCGGTTTGCGAACAAGCCTTATGAGGATCTGATAAGTATCCTGCATCTGCAAAACCAACCATACCAAACTCGGGTTTTCTAAAGTACATTAATCCTAGGTCAACTGTACCTTGAAGGTAACATAATATGTGTTAGATTCTGTTCCAATGTCCATGAGTAGGAGCCGAACTAAATCTCGCAAGTAGATTAGTGGCAAAGGAAATATCAGGTCTTGTACAGTTCGCTAGATACAACAACCCACCGATAACACTCATGTAAAGTACTTCTGGACCTAACATCTTTTCGCTATCTTCACAGGGTCTAAAAGGATCTCTCTCAACATCGAGAGTCCTATCAACCATTGGAGTACTCAAAGGAGTTGCTTTGTCCGTACGAAAGTGTTTCAATAACCTTTTCGTATAATTTGATTGATGCACAAATATACCTTCTCGGAGATGCTCAATCTGGAGCCCAAGACAAAACTTTGTCTTTCCGAGATCTTTCATTTCAAACTCTTCTTTCATATGAGTTCGTGCATCATCAACCTCCTTTTGAGTTCCAATAATGTTCAGGTCATCAACATATACAGCGATGCCAGTTGACGATTTCTTTATAAAAACGCATGGACATATCGCATTATTTATATATCCTTTTCTCAAGAGATATTCACTTAAGCGATTGTACCACATGCGTCCGGACTGCTTTAATTCGTAAAGTGATCGCTGTAATTTGACCGAACAAATCTCCTTGGGTTTCTCTTTCAATGCTTCTGGCATTTTCAATCCTTCAGGGAGTTTCATGTATATATCATTATCCAATGATCCATACAAGTATGCAGTCACAACGTCCATAAGATGCATTTCAAGATTCTTTGACGCCGTAAGGCTCATCAAAAATCTAAACGTAATTGCATCCATTACTGGGGAATACGTTTCTCAAAATCAATTTTTGGTCTCTGAGAAAAAACTTGGGCTACTAATCGGGCTTTATACCGTGTTACTTCATTCTTTTCATTTACTTTTCTCACGAATACCCACTTATATCCAACAGGATTTATATTCTCAGGCGTTATGACTATAGGTCCAAAGACATTTCTTTTATTTAGGGAGAGTAATTCAATTTCAATGGAGTTCTTCCATTCCTCCCAATCATGTCTTTTCATACATTCTAAAATGGACTTTGGATCAAGATCATCACTTTCGTGATCTATTTCTTTGGACACAGAAAAGGAGAACATTCCATCAACATCTTTTATCATATTTCTGATCTATAACTTTTCATCTTGGGCGTAGTTGATGGAAATCTCATACTTTTCTGTTCTCTCTTTGTCATCTGGATCCTTATCTTTATTTGGTTCTTCTTGAACCTTTCTATCTATGCCTTCTTTCAGACATCTTTCAGTATCAGGTTCTTCTAACCTTCCCTTTTTGCTCAACCAATTTCTTTTTCTTTCGGAGATTTTTATCTTTAGAACCCACATGTCTCCCCCTCTTTAATTGAGCCCTAGGCTCATTCATTGTATCTCCATCAGTGTGTTCTTTAGGAACAAAAACTCTTGATGGGACATTTTCAGCGGGTATATATGATTTTGTCACCCTTCTCGTATCTGTGAACGCATCTGGTAAATGGTTTTCCAAATTATGCAAATGCACCATTTTCTGAACTTCCAGCTCTCTTTGATTTGTAGGGGGATCAAGGTGTAACAACGATGGTGTACACCAAGTAATCTCTTTAGGAATTTCTCTAATTCCTCCCCCTAACGCTGGAAATTCTTCCTCATTAAAATGGCAATCGACAAATCGTGCCGTAAACATATCACCAGTTGTTGGTTCCAGATATCTTATTATACTTGGTGACACATAACCCACATATACTCCCAGTCTCCTTTGTGGGCCCATTTTTGTTCTTTGTGGCGGAGCTATCGGAACATAGACCGCACACCCAAAAACACGGAGATGGGATACATCTGGTTCATGCCCAGATGCCAATTGTAATGGGGAGTACTTATGATATGCACTCGGTCTTAACCGAATCAGTGCATCCACATGCAAAATAGGATGACCCCATACCAAAATTGGGATCTTTGTCCTCAAGATTAACGGTCTTGCAATCAACTGTAACCACTTTATTAATGATTCGGCCATGCCATTCTGTGTATGAACATGGGGCACTAGATGTTCCACATCAATCTCCACTGACAGACAATTAGGCCTAGGCATAAAATCCGAAACCCGAAATCCGAACCGAACCCAAACCAAAAAACCCGACCCGAAATGTAAAAATACTCGAACGGGTCTTATAGGATGATATAAAAAAATCCGAACCCGTAGTGTTATTTAACCGAACCCGAACGGATAACCCGAAATATCCGAAATTAATAGCTAATATAAATATTTATATATATATATATATATATATAAATATTTTAGATATTGAGTTTAATGTTTATTTTGATATGATACATACAATAAATATTAAAATATTAATAAATAACTTAAATATATAATTAGTTATAAATAAGTACTTTGTACTTTGTAATTTGTTCATTAAAATATAAATAAATACCTTAAATATATAATGCACATTGTTTACAAGTGATGTATGTTTTAATGACTGATTTAGCATATTTTTTTTAATTCTTATCAATTTTATGTATGTATGATTAATTTATATTCAGTTTCAGTGTTTTTCTTTATGTTTTTGTTTTGAAATTTTGTTTTATACTTCGGGTATATCCGAACCGAACCGAAATAACCCGAATCCGAACGATATATGGTTACTTTACGGGTTTTATGCTGTAATACAAATTTGAACCGAACCCGAAGTGTTATTATCCGAATCCGACCCGTACTTGTAAAATATTAGAATGGGACCTATGAGCGTAAACCCGAAAACCCGAAAATCCGAAAAACCCGATCCGAACGCCAACGGGTACCCGAACGCCCAGGCCTACATACAATAATCATTAAAGGCTTGCGATGTAAATTCACCAGCATTATCAAGCCTTACTTTCTTAATGTTATATCCTCAGAACTGCGTTCTCAGCCTTATTATTTGGGAAATGAACTTTGCGAAAGCCGTATTTCGTGTTGTCAAAAGACACACATTTGACCATCTACTAGATGCGCCAATCAATACCATGAAATACTTAAAATGCCCGCATGGTGGATGGATCGGCCCACATATATCACCATGTATTCTTTCTAAAAACATTGGTGATTCATTGACTATTTTTGCTTGTGATGGCCGAGTTATAAGTTTTCCTTGAGAACATGCTTTACATGTAAACTCGTTCGTCTGCAAAATTCTTCCGTTTTTCAACGGATGGCCATTTGAATTTTGCACTATTTTTCTCATCATGACTGAACCAGGATGTCCTAACCTCTCATGCCAGATTTTAAATGTATCAGTTTTCTCAGCCTTATTATTTGGGCAGTGAACTTTGCGAAAACCGTATTTCGTGTTGTCAAAAGACACACATTTGACCATCTACTAGATGCGTCAATCAAAACCATGAAATACTTAAATGGCCCGCACGGTGGATGGATCGGCCCACATATA